AGAAGTGAGTTTATCAAGTCGTCTAAATTGACACATTATTCTGTTTGGTATTTCCATAGAGATGATGACGAATTGTGAGGAATTTCACTTTGCTGAAACTTGATAGCATATTTAAGACATGAAGACTAAGATAGTGTGGCCTCTGGTATGGTCGCAATCTCCTTTCGATTTATAGAAATGCGTTGGCCTGGTTGACGCAACCGGGTCTTGTTGTCAGGGCGACTATGTAGAACGCACCTAGTTCGAAGTCGTTGTTATGATTCCCAGCATCTGACAGTTGACTTGGTACATTCTCAAGACGTTTCGTCGGCATCATAGTCGACATCATCAGTGAGTTTTGCCATTCTCCACACCAACCTACGAACTCGTCAAAGAGACAAGTGAAGTCAATCCCAAAACGTTTACAACTTTACTCCTCTTTCTGTCTTGGTCTATCTATCTACTCTTTGCCCTCTTATCCCACTGCCGCCCTATCACAACTTCTCACATGTTAACATTCCACTCATCACACTTGCTTTTCACACCGACCCCACTCTTTCGATCGGCTGATCCAACTCGGGCCTCCAATTCGGATCCCTTCATTGTCTCGTAGATCCGTTCCTTCTCTTTCTGGTTGACCGATTTCACTCGGCTCCAGTGCCAGTGTGCATCTCACTCCAGGCGCTATTTCTTTTTGACAGTTTGCTGATCTGTCTGCCCAGCTCCCTGACTTCCAGGACCCTAAATTTGTGCTGGTTTTTTCGAAATGGGCATCTTCGTTTTACTGCCGAAAACCGCAACTCCCCACTTTCCTCATCGTGATCACTTTTCCTCCGGTTAGCGCTAGATCCTTGATCCAGGCATCTCCTGTTCATTAGATTTGTCTCTCCAACGAAGTCACTGGCCTCCCTAATCTTGCGCTTCCCCGTGTTGTCACCGTATGGAGCTCTTCTTTCTGTTGCCTTCCAATTGATCTCGTGTCCAATCCATGCGATGTATTCCGCTAGTTCTGATCTTTCGGTATCCATTTTTCTGCAGAGTCTTTGATGTTCCTTCATTCGTGTGCTAATGTTCCACCATGTTTGGCTAATATATTTAGTTTGCAGTTCAACAGTAAACTCCTGAACAATCCCTTTTATTTTGCGTCGGTAGACTTTTGAAAAGGGTTGATTTCTCTTCTGTTGCCACCTGAATATTCCATTTTCTCAATATTAGCCGTACTCTTTGAGTTAGTTAGCAGGCATATACGATTTTGTGAATCCTTCATCGTCCTCACTCTTCTTTCATAGTCCCCGTTCTGCCATCGGCTTTTCACGGCCCGTTTGTTTCTTTGTATCACTTCGCTTGGATAGCCATTTCCGAGGAATATTTTCGTCAATTTGTCCAGCTTCTCGTTCCAGAATTCTGCATCCGTCAGGCGTAGGTTTCTGATGATCATGCTCGTCATTGTTCCAATCTTCAACCTTTAATTGTAATGGGACGGGAAATTGAGTATTATCCCAGCATAGGACTCCTTTCTGAACAATTTATTTTTAAAGTCATCTCATTAGAGCGAATCACTTCAACGTCCAGGAACGGTAACCGCTCACCTTCCTTTAATTCCATCGTGAATTGAATTCTTCCATCAATCTAATTTTCAAACTTCAGAAAATATTCCAGTTTTTCTTTTCCATGTCACCAAATTGCGAAGTAATCATCCAGTATCAGATGAGCACTGTCGATTGTAGCGGCGCCATCTTGAAGCTCTCTTCTATTTTGTTCATGTATACGTTTGCCAAAAGTGGTGAGGTCGGCAATCCCATGAGAAGTCCAGCTATTTGTTCAAAGATGTTCCTGTTGAATGTGAAATAGGTTGTCCTTATTGTCAAGTTGATTAGTCCTGTTAACGAATCCTTAGCGATCCTTTGTGATTTCAGCATATCCTCCTCTCGGTCCAGCATTTCCAGCAGGGCTGTTAGCGCATTCTTTCCAGAGATATTTGTATCCATGGATTCCACATCGAAAATTACCAACAAGTCCGTTGATTTTTTGAGAAAATTCACATAATTGTTTCACCATGTTTGATAGTCTCTCATTTAATTTCCTGAGTTTCAAACATATAAACTTTGTTAATTTGTGTGTTGCTCCATACTTGTTGTTGACAATTAGCCTTCGTGGCTACCGCATTCCTGGAAAAACGAATCAATTTTCCAATTCAACATCACAGAAGCCTTGTAGGAGACATCCTGGTGGAGTTTATCAATATCGCCGACAAGTCCCCTGAGGAGG